CTGCGCGTCTTGTGCTGGGACTGTCGGGTCTGGAGTGTAGCGTAGTCGGGGTGTCAGTGCGCCCTTGCTCGCGGCGTCCTCATCTAAGCTCGGGGCATCCGGGGGGACCTGCCCCCCGGAAGATGAACAGTTGAAAGTGCATCTCGTAAACGTGCGCAGGCTTGGCGGACGTGGTGGCCTAACGTGTGTCCTCTGTCTCACGCAGAGCGCCCCTGGCTCGTGGATTCCTACAGCAAGTGGCTTCAGAGACTGAAGGTGTGTGGGGGTGTCCTCCTTCCCTGCTCTGGGGGGATGGGACCTGAGCCCGGAGCCTGGGAGGCGGGGGCCCAGGTGGATGGTACCAGGAGGGAGGCGGGTGGGCAGCTGCCCACACCACCGTTAGAGTTTCACCGGCCCCCGAGCCGAGAACCGGATGTCCTGTGCCCCCAAGGTGCTCGAGCGCCTATAGTGACCGTCCCTTGGGCCAGCTGCCCCCAGCTCTGGCAGGCTGGCCCGTCACCCCCCGTGCCTCTGGGACCCCACAGCCCCTGGTCCCAGCCCCCGCGGGGGAGCGTGGCGGGCGGTGGTGTCTGAATCGCTTGGACGCGCCTGTTCCCAACTGAACGTCCTGGTTTTGTCTTGCAGGGGCCCCCTCATAAATGTGCCTTAATTTTCGCAGATAACAGTGGAGTAGACATCATTTTGGGAGTCTTCCCCTTTGTCAGGGAGCTACTCTTTAGAGGGACAGAGGTGAGTGAGGAGGTGTGTGGGTGGGACCCTTCCCCGGGCTCCTCTGCCCTTGGTGGGGTTGGCGCTGCTGCGGGCCCCTGGCGGCGGCGGGCAGAGCTCCTCGTCCGCAGCAGGTAGGTGCAGGAGAGACGGGGGGACGGCGGGCGGTGACCGGGCCTGCCGTGTTGTGGGGGCATGGCTCCCAGCCGCCCCCGTCCAGGGTGCAGGCTCCACCTGCTTACGCCTGGGGCTCAAGGAGAGACTTGCGGCCGTGACTTCATGCTGACCCCGAGGCAGGGCGGCCCCGAGGGCGGGCTGTGAGCAGGCGCGGCCCTGGGCGTCAGCTTCCTCCTGAGGCTGCGGAGCAGTGAGGTGAACTGGGGTCCCTGCACCCCAGCAGCTGGCAACTGGCCGGGCCCTGCCATCGGGGCCCTGGTTGGGCACAGGCTGGCTCCGCGCTGGTGGCGGCGGCAAAGGGCCTTAAAGAGCCTGGCCCTCCCACAGGTCATCCTGGCGTGCAACTCGGGCCCCGCCCTGAACGACGTGACGCACAGCGAGGCTCTCATCGTGGCCGAGCGCATCGCGGCCATGGACCCCGTTGTCCAGTAAGCGTCCGCCGGCGGTGCCGGGGGCGGCCCCCCACGGGGGAGGGAGGGCCGGAGGGGCTTCGCGGGTCCCGGGAGCTGTGGGGCAAGGGGGAGGCTCCCGCGGTGCCACGCTCAGGGACACTGACCCCCTCGTGCCCGGCAGCTCCGCGCTCAGAGGGGAGAGGCTGCTGTTGGTGCAGACGGGCTCCAGTTCCCCGTGCCTCGACCTCAGGTAACGTGGCACCTCTGTCCCCAGGTCCCTCACTCCCAGGGTCCCTGCAGTGCCTGCGAGCACCGGGGCACAGGGTGCAGAAGCCAGCGCTGCCCCACTGCCCGCCCTGGCCGAGACCTGGGCTGGCCTGGGATTGCCGTCCCCACGCGGGACCGGGGCGGGGTGGATTCAGGGTTTGAGGCAGCCACGCCTGGCGCCTGCTGGCAGGGTCCCCACGCGATGGCAGGGCTCTGTCTGTGTGACCGCGTGGGAGTTAAGTGCACGCAGGGCTTCCCGTACTCCCGACTCGGAGCAGCAAAGGACCCTCGGGTAGCGAGTCCACGTCCCAGGGCTCCAAGTCCCGGTCTGTGTGGTGGGGATGCCCCGTCCTGCTCCTGTCCCAACACTCTTAACCAACAGGAAGGATGTAAAAAAATCTGTGGAAAGGGGTAAGATCCTCTAAAGTTGAAAATTAAAAAGCGTGGTTAAGGCAGTTTTCAAGGTGGAGTTGCTCGTGGCCCAGCCGGCGTGGCTGCTCCGGTGAGGCCCCGGGGGGAGGCAGCTGCAGCGGAGGCTGCATTTGGACACCCCCACGTTTGTGACCGAGGGTGTGGGCCTCCCCCTCGCTGGCCACTGCCCTCGTGGGAAGCAGGGTTTGGGGTCCCCTCGGGCACAGCCGGCCCCGGCCTCACTGCCACCTTCCTCCCCAAAGCCGCCTGGACAAGGGGCTGGCCGTGCTGGTGCGCGAGCGCGGCGCAGACCTGGTGGTCATCGAGGGAATGGGCCGCGCCGTCCACACCAACTACCACGCGGCCCTGCGCTGCGAGAGCCTCAAGCTGGCGGTCATCAAGAACGCCTGGCTGGCGGAGCGGCTGGGCGGCCGGCTCTTCAGCGTCATCTTCAAGTACGAGGTCCCGGCTGAGTGAGGCACCTGCTCTGCAGACGGCGCTCGCCACCGGCGGGAGGTGCTTTCTGCGCAGCGGGGAAGCTGCGCTCAAATAAAAATATTTATACCGTGCGCCGCGGCGTGGTGCGTGCACCCCCAGCCCGCACAGCCGCGCCACGTCCGTGACAGGAGACGCAGCTTTTGTCCTGTGAGACGTTCGTATTGGAAGATATTTAACTGTTAAATAATCTTTTATATATGTATAAATATATAAATATATACGTGTACGTCTGACGGGCGCAGCGCCACGCGGCGTCCCCAAATAGAGTTTTCAGAGTGCGGCCGGAGCCTTTGCTTTTGCCGTTTGTTTCGGAGAAGTTGGCCCGTCGCGGCACGTCGGGTCGGGGTCCTCCGCCAGCCAGCCCCTCCAGTGGGGACGCGGGAGGAGAGCCTTTCCCCCCAGTTGTTCTAGAACTCTCCTGGCCCCAAGCACACCCATCCCCTCTGAGCCTGGTCCCCGTCCCTGCGTGTTCCCTCCTCCTTCCTGGCAGGAGCCGACTGACAGGTCTCTCCAGTGGCCACCTCTGGTCTGCGCCGTGCCCCCGGGCAGCGCTCCTGACTCCAGCCAGCAGGGAGGCCACGGGCATCAGGCACCCTCAGGGCTCTCGGAGGGAGCAGGGCTGGGGGACCCCCACTCAGAGGAGTGCAGAGCACGTGCCCTGTGTCCCCAGGACCCTGCCCTGTGGCTGGGGTGGCTGTGGCTTGTGGGTAGCTGGCCGCCGGGGAGCCACTGAGCCCACCCCTGGGAGTGCTCCGAGATGCCTGGGGCTCCCCAGCCCTGGGACTCCTCCCTCAGCTGGCATGTCCCCCAGGGTGTGACAGAGACCACATATAGCCACATGGCAGCAAGAGGACTCGGAATGACACTGGGAGGCAGGCCCTCTGAGTGCAGAGTGCTGGGCGGGCTCCGACTTTGCAGCAGGAGCTGTGCCTGGCGCCTGAGCCGCCGGACAGGCTCTGTGGAGGCCAGTCTGCCACCTCACCCCCACCAGGCCCCTGCAGCTCGAGAAATGTGCTGAGACCCCGAGCACGTGCTGTCCCGGACCACCTTCCGCTCAGCTCTGCGTGGGGGTCTGTGGCCTGAGTCGCAGAGCGGGGAGCACACCCCGAGGCTGATCCCCCAACTCTGCCCCTGCTGCCTGCCTCGTGCCAGCCCCCACTGTGCTGTCCCCGTGTGACCTGCCCGAGGCGTCGGCATGGACCGGGCCTGGCCCTGCCACAGTGGCCGCCAGGAGGCAGCAGGTGTCGTGGCTCTGGGCAGCCCAGGAGCAGCCAGGCTGTCCTCGGGTTGGTCCTCCTGGCTCCATCCTGCTCCTTCCCTGCGGGGGGGCCGGGGCAGAGGCCCCCCCCCATCAGCCCAGTCACCGTCCAGCCCCACCGTCCACCGACAGCTCTGGGCAGCACTGGCCGGGCCAGGCGGGGGCTCCCGGGTGTGGGGCTGCCTGGCTCTGACGTCCACAGGGCTCGGCCCTGAGCGCCTTGGAGCCCGTCCGCACTCAGGACGTTCCCGTTGCAGAATTTCAGCCAGAGCTGGGCCCTCCGGTGGGGGCGGGGGTGGGCAGAGGCCTTGAGGGAGGGGCAGCTCAGGGAGGACAGGGCTCGGGGGCGCTGACCACTGATCTCGGACCCCTGCACGCCTCCACCCAGGCCTGCCCGCGAGTCAGGTACCTTCCGTGCCCCTGCCGCCCCCTGCCCTTTCCCAGCTGAGCGGAGAGCATCGACCCCCGTGGCCTCACCCCTCCTTGGCTCCTGCAGACTCCTGGCTCATACCCCAAGCCAGCCCCGCCCTGCGCACAGGCACTGCCCCGGGAGGCTCACAGGGAGGCCTCGGTCACCAGGCTTGTGTGCAGTGTCACCCCTGGGGCTCCAGGCCCTCTGTCCACAGAGCTCTGACCCGCCTCGGGCTGAGCTCCCGCCCTGGCCCCATGGCAGCAGCCCCTGACTCTGCTGCACCCCTGCCCTGGGTAATCGCCAGCTCCACATGCAAATGCCCTTGGGCTCACGGCGGGGGCGTCATGCCAGGCTCATTCTGAGGGGGCTGGCAGGACTGGGGGTGCCAGTGCAGGGGCTCAGGGCAGGACAGGCCACCCCCTGGGTGCAACTGGCCAGTGGCCACAGGTGGGTGAGCGAGCTGGGAGCCCCGCTCTGAGCTGGCGTGACCCTGTGTGCAGAAGGTCACAGTCTGGGGTGTCCAGCAGGGGACGTTTGTTCAGGGCGAGGCAGACAGGGTGGGGACAGGACACAGGTTCTGATTCCCAGGACACACATACGCACACACGCCCGGGGCCAAGAACCAGGTGAAAAGTGGAAAAGGACTCGGTACCATTTTAATGTTGTATAAGTTTTGCCTCTAAAAATTTAAATATTTCTCTCTAAATACATCTTAAAACGCTGTGGAAACTGCCTGGCGGGCCACGTCCTAGACCCAGGTCGGCCGGCAGCACCGGCCGCTTCCTCCCCGGGAGCAGGGGCAGGGGGACGGGACATGGCTCTGGCCCTGTGTCCTGGCCCAGGCGACAGCCTGCCGCCCTCGGCCCGGCTGGCGGAGTCAGAGTCTCAGGAGGAGCAGACCGTCGGCGCCCCCGGACCCCAGATGGAGGGCTGCCTTGGTGGGGGCCGGTGCGTCTGCACAGCCCTCGTGGCCCACGGAGCAGGCGCCCTCAGGGGTGCCCCGCTCCTCCTCGGGGGGGCCCTGCAGCCCCTGCAGCCGCTGCAGCCGCTCCTGGGCCTGGCGGGCCCGGCTGGCGATGGCGCGCACGCGGCTCTGGCTGCGGGAGGAGGAGCGCCGCAGGAAGCCGGAGCCCCCCGCCGACCCCTCCCCGGCCGGGCCCAGGCTGGTGGGTGACGTGATGTCCCCGGCCCGCTGGAAGCCCGTGAGCCGGCGCAGCTGCTCCGTCAGGGCGTCCGGTCGTTCCCCCGGCCCCGCTGCCCGCCGCGTCCCCCCGGGGGACCCTAGACCGTGGCTCGGGCTGTGGCAGCCGCCCTCGAAACTGGGGACAAAGTCGTCGGCGGTCAGATCCCCCAGACTCTTGGACTTGGCGGCCACGGGGCAGCCCTGCAGGCCTACCAGGGAGAGGCGGCCCCAGGGCGGCCTCGGGACCAGGGGTCGGGGCCGCAGCTCGCCGGGCACAGGCAGCAGCTGGGCAGCAGCCCGCAGGTTGGGGTTGGACTTGCTCTTGGTCACAGGCAGTGGGTCCAGGCGGGCGGCGGGGGCCGAGCACGGCCGCAGAGGCAAGCGTCCCACGGGGCCCCCAACAAGGCTCTCGCGGCTGCAGCCCAGACCCAGGCTCGGCAGGGAGAGGTCAATGACGGTGTCGCTGGATGACACGCTGGAGGACGAGGACACGCTGTCGCGGTGGTTGCCTGGCTCCAGCCGCTGCCATAGCCGGTCACTGCCCGTGACATCCGCATACACGGCGGGGGGGGGAGAGGGCCCGGCCGGGGGCTCCACGGGCACCTGCCCCTCACTCTTGGCCCTTCTGATCGTGGGCAGACGGCCCGCGGCCCGGGGCTGGGTCCTGCTGTCCGTCTGGCTGCCGGGAGCCCCCTCGCATGCCCCGCCGGGGCCCCCACTGTGGCGCAGCTGCTGCTGCTGGGCCTCTGGGGGCTCCTCAGTGTGCCCAGGGCTCCCAGCCCTGAGCCAGAGGGGCACAGAAGCCCCCGGGGCCAACCCTGTGGGGCCCTGGGGCCCTTCCCGGGAGGGGCTGGTCGGACTGCCCGCCGGTGGCAGGGAGCCGGAGCCCAGGGCTGGTTCCTCTGCAATCGTTTCCAGGCTGCACAGGGGGGACATGGACCACTGCAGGGAGAAGGGGCGGCCACCTGCGGGAAGAGGGACAGGGAGAGAGAGGCAGAGAGAGAGGGAGGCACGTCTCAGGGGCGGTGTCCCAGGGGCCCCTACACCACCAGACAGGGCCAGCCCCCACCCCCAGGCACCCCCATCACACACATCCGACGGGCACACTTGGCGCCCCCGCCCTGCTGCTGTGGGGGCTGGGGCAGTGGATGGGCCAGGGTCCTCCCGGGGCTGGGGCTGCCCCGTTACCTGTCACTTGCGCGCTCAGTTCCTAACTATGGAGGCAGCGTGAGTGCAGGGACAGAAAGGAGAACTCGGTCAGCACAGGGGCCGGGACAGACCGGCGCACAGCGCAGCTCGGTGCACACCCCTCCCTCCTGGGCCGCAGCAGAGGTGCTCAGTGGGGTTTAGCCAGACACGGGTCTCAGGGCCCCAGAGGCACGGGGCATCTGCGCCCCTCAGCACTTGCGAACTCTGAGCACCATTCGGAGTCTCGGGGGATGGAGGCGCCCCGCGGCTACACCACCGAGCCAGGCCGGCCTCCCCGGGAGGGACACCCCTGCAGCCTGGCCCTGGAGGGAGGTGGGGTGGGGGCAGGAAGCGGCCCCCAGTCCCAGGAAGGGCACCAGGGCCCCCAGGCAGCAGTAGACTGGGGAGGCGGGTTGGGGCTCAGCCCTTTCTCGGGGCTCCCAGCTGAAGCCTGGTGGGAGGGGCTAGTTCACAAGGCCACACTTGGGGCCCTGGGCCCTCCGCAAGTGTGGCCGGCTCTCGGCATGGCACACTGTGGCTCAAACCTGTCCCCACCCTCCCAGAGACTGGGGCCCGGGGTCAGGCAGGCAGGAGGGCTGGGGCCGGCAGCCTCAGGACAAGCCAGCGGAGCAGAGCAGCACAGAGGCACCACGAGCACACACGGTGGCGTCCGTGACGCGGAAGCAGCAGCAGGTGGCGCGAGGCCCAGGCCATGCACGGCTGCGGGAGGACAGCATGGGCGGGCGGGCGGCTGGTCTTACCGGTGGAGAACATAGGGGATTTACTCCTGATCTCCTCCAGCTTTGCAACGAACAAGGCGTTCATCTCTCCCTGCAGGGCCCCTGGCTGCCTGCCGGCCTCCTGCCGGCCGCAGACCCCCTGGGGGCTGCCCGGGCTCTCGGGGCTGCAGTCCGAGGACACGGAGCCGCCACCGCCTGGACCCGGCCGCCAGGCCCCAGGGCCCTCGGGGGCCTCTCTGCTTCTCCCCGGGGTGGTGCGGGGGTCCAGGCCGCAGCAGGGGGTCCCCAGTGAGTCCGCCCGGGCCCGGGGCTGCTGGCTGATGGCCGTGTGCCCACCTGCGGGCCCCGGGCTAGCTGGCTGCTCCCGCCACAAGCCCTCAGCACCCACGCCGGCACAGGAACCCACCACGCACTTCATGCACGTGGCGGCCATCCCCGCGGGCCCCAGGCCCTCAGTCACCCGCAGAGGCCGTGCCTGCGCCGGGCTCCTCTCCGCCTCCGCTGCAGGCACCTTACCTCGGGGGCTGCCGCTGCCGGGCCCCTCCCAGGCCGGGGCCTCCAGGGCCGGGCCAGGGCTGGGGGGCGCCGCGTCATCAGCTGTCCTCTTGGCGCCCGTGTCCCGCGTGCCCAGGACCAGCTCTGGGCAGCCTTTGCGGCCGGGCTTCTGGCTCTTGGTCGGGGCGCTGGCCGTGCGCCGCAACAGCCGCCGGCTAACGGAGGGCCGGGGCGGGGGCTGCCCAGCAGCATGACTGTCCAGGGAGCCGGGCTTTGGGCCACGGAGGAAGAGGCCTTTTAGGCCCAGAACCGGCTTGACCTGCAAGAGAAGGAGCCCACATAGCTGGCGCCGGGAACCACCAGCCCAGCCACAGCTGCTGCCCACGGGCCGCGCTCCGGAGGGCGCCGGTGAGTGTGCAGGTGCGGTGGGCTGGGGCTGCCTCCAGGGCTGGCCAGCGGGGCTGCGTGTAGCGACATCGGCCATCAGAACCCGCACCTCCCCAGCAGTTCTGCCGGGACCACAGACCGCTACCAAACAAGATTCCTTTCCAAGGAGGAATCTCCTTCCCTGAGCTCTGGAGGGAGGCAGCGGCCGCAGGGCAAGCGGGTCTGGCCGGGGGCGCTGGCGGGGGAGGCATCGTTCCCCAGGCTTCTCCTCGGCACCGGCCCACCACACCCTGCGCCTGCTCGGGGGCCCCCAGCCTGGGCTCTGGCAGGGCTTCGGGTGCAGAAGCCGCAGGAGGAAGGGCGTGGCACCACCCGGGGTTGCCTCTGCCCGGCTCAGGCCACGGAAGCAGGCACGGCCTGGCGCAGCCTGCATCTGCGCTCCCATGGCCCCCACCCCCAGCGGTGCCACCTCGACCGGGAATCCTCCCGAACCCCCAGCAGCTTCCCAGCCCGGCCCTGCTCTCTGCTCACACGAGGCCCGAGGCCCACGGCTGGCTCGGCGCTCCCTGAACCCAAGTGCTCCCGGGTGGGCTTGGGCTCCCGACACCCTGGATGGTCCCTGCACAGGCCTCTCTGAGAGCAGCCGGGTGCCCAGGACCCGCCGGAAGTGCAGGGTCAGCGCTGGGGAGGCCGGCAGCTGCGTGGCACGTGTGCAGAGGCCGGAAGGAGCCTCACATGCCAGGCGGCCCCGCACCCCGGAGACCCGACACCCTCCGCTACCCCGCGACGCGCCGTGCTCGTGCACAGAGTGGTCACCCCGCAGGGGCACTCTGGGCAGAGGCGTTAAAATGGCCAGCGCTTGAATCAGCTTCCTGATTCAAGACCCCAAATCCAGTGCAATTTGGTCAGAGTGGGCTGGAAAGCCATGTGGAGGGAGATCCAGGATTCAGGCCCGGCGCTCTGGCCCTGGGCATGGTGGCACGGCGGGGACACAGGAGAAATGGCACGCGGGGACCCAGGGCGGGGGCGCAGAGGGGCTCGGCTGGAGTGCGGGCCAGTCAGAGACTGAGGGCGGCACGGGGGTCGGGCGGAGGCTGCGGCCTGTCGAATCCTGGATCTGCCTTGTCAATGCCGCTATCGGCTGAGGATGGCCCAGGGGACCCCGGACCATGTCATGATCCACGTCACAAGAGCTGACAGTCTCCAAAATGCTACCAGGAATCATGGGTGCTAATGGGGCGCGGCCTGGGCATGCAGGTGGGGCGCCGGGCCACACGGCCCCGCGGCGCTGGGGTACCTTGGAGGATCCTAACAAGGCCGTGCTTCTAAAAGTAGACTTTGGACATGGGGAGGCCACTGCAAGACCAAAGAGACAGGAAGGACGTGAGGCGGCAGGACAGCGGCAGGGCCCGTGGCCGCGGAGACGGACGGACGCCTGCGGAGCCCGTCCAGCTTGTGCCTCTGGGCCCACGAGCGCAGCAGGAGAGAAATGGTCGCCGTTGGGCCCCGGGCGGCCCCTGAGCTGCGTTTACAGTCCCCAAGGGCTCCAGGCCCCAGCTGGGACCTGGGACGCCAGCTCTACAGATCGGGAAGGCCGGGCCAGGACCCATCCTGGACCTCCCTGCCCTGCCCTGGCCTGGGGCAAGGGCAAATGCAGGTGGCCACTGTCCAGGTGACTCCAGACCGTGGAGGGGTGGGGGAGGCCAGGAGAGGAAGGGAGGCTGCAGGCGCCAGGAAGGGCCAAGTGCTCAGTCCCCACCCCGCAGCCCGGCGCCAGCAGGGACAGGGCTCGGGTGAGGCCAGAGCCAGGCTGAGATGGGCGCTGGTGCCCCCCGAGAGCAGGGTCAGGGACAGCAGGGCACCCGGCCGCCCACGCCAGCCCTGGGACACGGAGCTCCTCACCGCAGGCTTGGGGTCAGGCGTCCCCTGCATCCCCAGTGGTGGGGGGACCATGGGCCTCTTTGCCCAGACTCAGGAGCCACCCTGGGGACGCTGCTGGGGGGGGGGTTGGGGTGGGGCACAGGGCTGGTGCTGCCCCTCCCAGGACCACAGGTGGCCCTCAGGTGATGCTCACCTTACCGCTGATGTCACTGACAGCCACATGCACGAAGATGGAGGCCTCTTCCATTCCCTCCAGGTACACGTGCCGATAGCCTGGAGCAATGGGGGTGACATCAGGGTCACAGGGCTCCCCCTGCCCCGCCTTCACCAGCCCACTCTCTACTTAAAGGTCCCAAGGCCCTGAGTGCCACAAACGACAAGCCCAGGCCTGGGACTCCATCCCCTGTGGACCCAGCACAACCTCCACCTCCTCCAGGCAGCCTGCCAGTATTGCTCTGGCCAGCAGGACGTCCTCCTGGGGGTGAGCCCTCCCCACAGGCTGCGCCCCATCCCACCTGGGTCCACAAGGCCCCACAACCTTGTGCTGAGTCCCGCTGGGTCCAGGTCAGCTCCCTCTGTCCCTTCGGCAGCAGGGCCAGGCCCATGGGGCCCACGGCAGGTGCACACCCTGGCCTGGAGCCCTCGGCCTTGGCGGGGACGTAGGGCCCCACCCACCTGGCATCATGCTGCTGAAGGCCAGTGTCCTCTGCCCGATGAAGTCTCGCCCGATGGGGTCATGGTCCCAGACGAGGAAGCGGACCAGCGCGATCTCAGGCATGTGCACGGTGAACACGAGGGTCTCCTCCCACATGGGGTTGAACCCTGGAGGTGTGTCACGGGAGGTGCGTCACCTGGGCAGGGCCCAGCCCCGAGGCCGCCCTGCCCACGCCTGTCCTCCTGGGCTGGCGCCAGCCCTCACCATTGTCGTCCACCACGCGAGTCTGCTCCTTGCTGCAGTCCACCGGGAGCCCGATGACCTCCACCTCCACGAAGGGGTCGATGATCTGCAGACAGCGGGCTGAGGGTGGTCTCGGGCCCAGGCTTGGGGTCCAGCACTCCCGTCCCCACCCGGGCTCGCCCCTACCTCCCCACGGTCCCCCAGCATCGAGTCCCGCGGCTTGGGGAGCTGCTGCCCACTGATGATGCGCAGCGCCAGCTGCTTCTTGAGCTGCCCGGGCAGGGGGTCCTCGGAGTTGGGGTTGAAGACGCCTGAGTGGACGCTGGGCATGAGGTCGGGCCCAGCCTTTGGCCAGTGCCGACCTGCTAAGGGCACCAGCGGCAAACAGGCCTCAGCGCCCCAGTGACGGGGCCCGTGGCCAGGGCGGGAGTCGGGGGTCAAGACAGGCAGGGCCTCCGCCTGGTCACCTGCGGGCAGAGCCCACCCTCTCACGGGTGGGCCTCAGGCTCCACAGGCACGAGGGGCGGCCCCGCCTCTGTGGGGCAGGTCCCGGACACAGCGGGCTGGGCACCCTGGGGGCCCAGTGCAGGTGAAGGGGGCGTAGGAGCAAGGGGGCGGGAGGGGAGCGGGGTGAAAGGGGAGAAGCTGGAGTCAGGCAACACTGCAGGGAGGAAACGGCGCGTCTGAGGCAGAAGGCGGCTCCCAACGGGCCCAGCCCAGGCCCACGGCACCGCTCCTGTGCAGAGGCCAGAGGAGCCTCGCGTGCCAGGCAGCCCCCGCCCCAGAGAGGGGCTGGGCACGGGGTGCTGGGTCGCTGGGCCGGGACCCTCAGACAAGTCCTGCAGGCGGATCTCACGGGGGCCGGGCTGGGCGAGGGCCCCCCACTCCCCCCCCAGGTTCCTGGCAGAAGTGGGTCCTTCTTTGCAGCCCCTGCAGGGAGGGCGCCGCATCCCACCCTGACCCTCCGGGAAGCTGCCCAGGCGGCGCAGCCCCTTGCTGTCTGGTGCAGCCCGACCCCGGGGCTCTGGGCTCCCCCGGGCAAACCCTGCGAGCCCTGAGCGTCGCGCGCCTCACCCTGGCACATGCACTGGGGCTTCAACACGTAGCCGCAGTTGCCGTTGGCGCTGAACTTGGCCCTGTTCAGCTGCAGCATCCGCCCCTCCGACTGGTAGTTCAGGGCAACTGGGGGAGGGGACGCGGCCGTCCGGTCAGCATCTGGCCTTCCAGGCGTGTGCCCTGCCTGCCGCGGCCCCCAAATCCACCGTCTGCCCCCCGTTCACCCACTGTGTGCGGGGCTCAGGCACGCGCAGCCGCGCAGGAGCAGGGTCCTGTGTGAGGCGGGACGTCCCAGAGCCAGTGAGGCCAGGCCCCACGCGTGCGCCCCGGGAGTGCGCCGCAGCCCCGCAGCTGCCGTTCCACATGGCCCTGGGGTCTTAAGGCCCCGCCCCAGTGCCAGACTGGTGTCATGGCCACACGCCACGGAGCTTCCACAAAGCGAGGGGCGAGAAAGAGACGGCCAAGGCCCCCCCGTCCGCAGCCCCCCACGCGGCTCTGGGCACCCACCCATCTGGCAGCCGGCGTTCCAGAAGGGCTGTGGGTTGTAGTTGCTGGAGTCGACGCGGTAGGAGGAGGGGTAGACCCGGGAGAGCTGGTGCTGGTTGAAGCTCAGGTACTGGGCCGGCTTCTGCTGCAGGATCTGGTGGGCCTTGGTCTCGCTGAAGGAGGACACCTGCCAGCTGGACGCCACTGTGGCGCCGGCCACCAGTGTCAGACACTGCGTCCTCCGGTCCTCCGGGCACCACACTGCGCGGCCGGAGTTGGGACAGGGAGGCCCCGCCCAGCCCCACCTGTGCGCCCCTCACCCTCCGAGTCCACGTCGTGGGTGCCCACGGACTTAGTGTACTTGACCAGGTCCGAGAGAGCCCGGGACAGCTTCATGGTCTTCTTCTGCCTGGTCGTCCTGTGGGGACCACAGGGGTCAGGGTCCTGGGGGGCCGGCCTGGCGCCAGCCCTGCAAAATGGGCTCCAGGGCACCGGCGTCGCATCCAGTACGTGTCCACCGCGCCACATGCTGCCGGTGCCCGGTGTGGCGTGGACACCCCGGGTGGTGCTGGGGGCAGGCGCCAAGCCCCCAGAGACGACCCCAGGCCGCGCCGGAGGCCGAGGAAATGCGAGCACCAGGCAGGATGCGGGCTGGGCTGCCCCGTGGCCGCAAAAGCCCTGGGCCCTCGGGTGGGTGTGCGGGAGGAGGGCGCCCAGCTCAGGCGGACATGGGGCCAGGGCTGCGCTGAGAGATGTGGGGGCTTCTGGAAGGTTCTGAGCAGGGGGGAGACTCAGGGTGAAGTCTGGGTCCGGAGAGAAGAGGCGCGGGCACAGAGGGGCCGAGGGGCCGTCGGGTGTGCACGGAGGGCAGAGCGGCAGCTGGCGGTGGATCCACTCTGGAGAAGGGCGAGGGACGGCGCGGACCCCAGGACCGTCCCCGGGGCAGGGCACTGACCCTCGGCTCTGGCGCTCTGGGGAGTCCAGGTCCTCGTCCCTCTCCTCCACGCTGGCCGCCTTCTTTAGCTTGCCGCCCTTTTTCTGCGGAGGGCAGAGCCGTGAGCCGCAGGCCCGCCTGGGCCAGGCCCGGGCAGAGGCTGAGAGGGTCCCAAGCGGCCGCACAGCCTCCTAGTCCACCCCGCTGGGTGCACCAAGGCTGCGGCCGTGCCCTCTGGGCAGCGTGGGGACCAGGCCAGTGTGGGCCAGACAGGGGGTGACCGGAGGGCCGTGGAGGTGCCACTCCCGACCAGGGGCCGGCCAGGGCCTGGGAGCGGGAGGGCCCTGCTCCCTGGTGGTGGGGGACGCTGGTGAGTGGTGGTGGGGGCGGGGCTCAGACAGGCCCCGGCCGGCCGGGAGCGCTCCTGCACCTTGCGCCTGGAGAAGCTGCTCGCGCGGAGACTGTTGCTGCGCTGGCCGGCCCCGGCGTCCTCCCCGGGCTCCGCGTCCTCCTCCGCCTTGCTCTGACGCAGGGGAGAGACGGGGACGGTGAGGCCAGCGTGAGCGCAGGGAGGGCAGACGCTCCCCCGGCCACCCAGCGGCCTTCCTGGAAGGGGGGGCTGAAGCCAGGCCTGGGCGGAGGTCGGGCACCGGGGGCCCAGGGGCGACCGCAGGGGGACAGGCTGAGCCCGGCAGGAACAGCCGCCCACACCCACGCTGGCCTCTCACGGCGTATTGTTCCAAACTCATTAAGTTCCCGTTCTGAGTTTTCCCACAGATGGTGACTGCATAATAAATATATTGTGTGTCTGGAACATTCCTCAGCCTATTTCTGCGGCCCTTTCACGAGCATCCCTGAAGCTCTGATGTGCTGACCTGCTTCTGGCAGCGCCAGGATGTTACCTAATTAGACAAATAACTCCAGGTCCGCGTTCCTCAAAGGCGGGCTCGGAGGCACAGCTCCGGGAGCTGCAGGACGAGCCCCCCCTCCCCAGGTACAGAAGGGGTGCAAGGGGCACCTTCCCTGCCCTCCCCCAGACCCCCAGGGCCGTGTCACAAACTGCTCATTCGTCCCCAAGCTCACGCACAAGGAGCCTGTGCTGGCTCATGTGCCACGAGGCAGCCACCCCCCC